GTGCTAGTATAAATCTAATGTCATAATCTGTTTATAAGAAATTGAGATTGGATGAAGTCAAATTAACATCAATAAAGTTACAACTAGCTGATACAACAATTTCAAAGTCACGCAACAAAATTGTGGATATACTCATAAAAGCAAGAATTTACTATTTCGGTGGACTTCATTGTGTTGGACATACCAGAAGATCGAGACATTCCAATTATATGGGGTGGACCATTCTTAGCAATGAGTCAAACTTTAATTGACATGGAGAATGGTGAGTTAATATTGAGGGTGAATGACAAATAAGAGATATTTAATAGTTACACCCCATTTAAGAAACATTCCAACAACAATAATTGTTGTAGAATTGACGAAGAAGAGCAACCCGATCAACGAAGCTGTCAGAATAGAAAATCAAATTTCGATGGGCTTCTTGGTAGAGATGGAAATTGAAATATCAAACTATGGAGAGCAAAAAAATGGTGCATAAATGAAAATTGCACAAGGTGCAAGGATGACATAACTTGGTTCGAGCTACCTAATCAAACATAGTACAAAGTCAAACTAATGATATTAAAGAAGTGCTTCTTCAACCCAAACTTTGTTTTCCTTTTTGTTTATTTTGTTTTTGAGTTTTAGAATAATTTAGTTTATTTTAAGTTTATTTGTGACTCATTATCCATACCTCATTTCTCTTTATATTTTCGATATGTTGGTTTATTAAATGTTAGAGTTAAGTAACACTTGTTTCAATTATTTATCTTAATGCTTTATTTGATTTTTCAGGAGCATGACGTCGCAGAACATTTAAACCAATATTAACCAATGAGTCAACATGAGCAATATGAAAGTTGACAATTGAATTACAAGTCATATCAGTTGAATCTTTTTTTCACTTTCTTCCTTTGCCCTTTAGATGCGGATTTAGGATTAAAAACATTGATGACAATATCTAGTTTAAATTTGGAGGTGGAAAACATGATTTTTATTTTTTATTTTATGTGTTTTTGTGTACTTTTATTACTTTAGTAATAAATTTTAAAAAATAAAATATAATAAAAATATTTTCTTTTCGTGTGTTTGTGTGAGTTAGTTGACCTAATTGGTAATAATGAAAATATTGAATCATGAATTGATTTATGAATGGTGAATAAGTTGCATGTTTAGATTAATTTTTGTTTTTCCATGTGCAATTTAATATATATTGAGCACATGAATTAAGTTAAATATTGTGTAGGAATGAGTTGATTTCATAATTTAATATGTTGAAATAGTTGACCATAGATGTTAAACCTAAAACCACTAAATTTTATATTTTTGGACCAAATTTAGAATGTTTGGGGGGATTTTACTGTTGTAGGAAGATATTGAGATAAATAGAGATTTTATGTATGAAATTAAAAATCTTGTGTGGATTGATTAAGGTCAATAGGATGCAATTGAGTGAAAATCTCAAATTAGAGGTCGTTTTACTTGAATTGGTGTTAGTACCCCCTGTAACGTGATTAATTCCATATTTTTTATTTGTATTAGAAAATTTCTCTTCGTAACCTTTATGACTCGAGCAATTAAGTTTGCAAGGATCTTTAATACCTAGTGCCCTATAGTCATCTGACTTGGGAGACATCGACTGAAACTTTGTTAAACGGGTCATTTAGAAAGTTTAAGGGAGATAATGTTTCAAATAAAGAAAAAAATTACTCATATGAAAAAAATAATCCTAAAAAGCAGGTGCATGAAATATAAGACGCACCAAATGCATTCGTTAAGTCTCAAACACTTGTTTAAAAAAATTTGACTTTTGATAAGAGATTGTTAGCCTAGTTAAGTCATAAAGATTGAAGCAATCAAATTTAATAGAGAATCATTGTTTATTGCAATGTTGAATTGTAATTGGTGAAATTTTGTCACACTAGAGAGGTGATGATAAAAAAAATCAAATCTTAGTTCACACACTGGAAAATAGTGAAAAAAATAAGTTTCGAGGTGTGAATTTTACGAGTGATGAAAGAACACACTTGACCATTGAGGGTCAGGAATTGAA